CACTTTCATAGTGTTTTGACCCCAGTTTGGGTGTTAACTATTTGCCCATAGCTGGGACCCTAACAGGTGCTACCACTCTGGGTCAGGGTGGACCTGGGAACACTAGCTATTAAGAGGTGGTTCCACGCTCCTCAAAACTCCTGATCAGGGACCTGTCAGATGTAGTTTATCGTCTTACCCAGGATGCAGGTGTAGTTTATCATCATACCCACGATGTTGAGAAATGGTCAAATTCATTTTATTTAAAAAAGTCGTAAAGAAACATTTGGTATCAGCCTACTCAGGGGATAGTCTTCTTAATTTTGGTTTTGACAGTCTGTAAATATTAAAACATTTTCAACGGCATTTTGCTTGCTAAGTAAGACAGATGTTTCTTTTTTGTTTTCTTCAAATGAATTTCTTTATAGGAATATTTATAATGCAGGTAGCATAATGGTTATCAGCAAGGCAAATGGAATCAGCAGAGTTAAGTGTTTGAATAAGGCATGAATCCACTTCTCCCTTGTTCCTCTGTTAGATTCTTTTGACACCACACCCCTTCAGGATGTAGGCAGTCATGATTCTCCACAGCTTCCTCTTCTTTATTATCTGTGAATTATCATGATCTCTTGGAAAAGATGGCTTACAGCCACATCACACTGAAACCCCGATCCTCATATGATTACCAAAGTTAAGCAACATCAATCCTAATCAGTACCAAGATGGGTAACCACTTGAGAATAATGGGTTCTGTAAGCTTGGATGTGCAAGTGGTGTAATGGATAATGGCCCATAAATTGGAGAGCCAAGTTCCAATTCCAGCCAGGTCTGATATATTCACTTATGCACAAATATCCTTGCGGAAGAGCCAGGCACCAAACTAATCGCTTTAACAAAGTTAACATTTTCACCAATTCAACCCCAAAACCAACTTTGAACATCATGATGGCATCAAAGTCAACTTAAAAGTCAAACCAGCAATGTAAATGACAACTTCATTAATCAACAATTAACAGTTTGATGTCCAGCTCTGTATTGGTATGACTTATATTTGTGTTGTTCAATGTATATAAAATATTTTCATCTATGACTAATTTTTGGAATTCATTTCCTTGGGTAATTCTAGTCCTTTCATCCATCATGTTAAGCTGTTAGTATATCACTGATATACTAATGCCTATTGTGGACATTGGAGTGTAGAAAAAATCAAAATATTTCTTCTAATTTCTACCCTTTGAAGATTTGAAACTTGAACAGTTATTCTCTGTTTTGTGGGATTCAAAAAATTTTAGCTTAGTCTTACACAAGGCCACAATAAAAAGGCACTGAACAAAGATCCCTACAGTTATGTATTAGTCAGTGAAACTAGCTTTTTAATCATCATGGCATGATAGAGATTCATTTTTTCAGTTTTTATTATTATTGTACTTACTCAGATATTCACATTTGAAGCGATGTCAACTGTGACGTACATCCTGTGTGTGCGTATGTACATATATATATATATATATATATATATATATATATATATATATATATATATATATATATATACAGAGATGGGCACCAAAACCGTTAATCACTTTAACTAACAAAGTTAACATTTTCACTGATTCAACCCCCAAGACAACTTTGAACATCATCATGGTATCTCATGAACTTGAATATGTTGATGTCGTTGAAGTTAAAATTGCCACTGCCACTAGACCTCAGCAGGAACAGGCTCAGAACTTTAAGAGTTTATCGATAACTTCTGTTGCATAATACACAAGATAGGGGATAAAATCATTTTTTATGAGTGAAATATACAAGTATATATGCTACATGGATTGAATTGTGTTCACTGGTGCTAATGAGAATATGCAAATATCTTAGCTGTGAGGAACTCTCCTTGTTTTTATGTTTTGATTTCAGACATGTTGAGCACTTGTTTTTTTATTCAGCATACAATTTTGTTACAGAGATCTCTGCTTTTGATCTTTAACCAAAGCTGATCTTTACTAAGATCACTAATTTCTTTGTTATGCCAATTGCCCCTCTCTTAACAAGGTGCTTGATAGTTTGGTATTTTTAAGAGATTGGAGTCATTAGCCTACAACCATTTAGTTTTGTTTTTATGTGAAAGATCTTATAAAGGATATTGTTATTTACTGATGGGAAATAATGAAAACCATTTTGATATTTTCCCACTTGATATAATTAGTCAAAGCTGATATTATTTAACATAATTTTTCTTAATGCTATGTCCCTTTAGGATGTAGGCAATCAGGACACATGTGATAATTCTCAAAGTCAACTTAAAATGTCAAATCACCAATGAAAATGACAACTTCATTAATCAACGATTAACAGTTTGGTACAAAGTTCTGTTAATTAGTAGGACTTAGATCAGTAAAATCATTATTTCTAAAAGCTGCAAAAGGTTGATAAACAATCAAAAAACAAATGAATCAATCTTGGGAAAAATAGCACAGTGTCTTCCCATTGCTGTCTGAATTTTGAATTCAAATTGGTCTTTCTCCTAGATTACCACCCAATGTTAGAGAATCAAGTCTACCCTACTATTTAATGCATAACTTGAAGGAGAAGAAATTAATTCCTGCTTTTCCCAAAGGTATTTGTGTAAAAATGAACAGTAAAGACTTGACCAGAATTTGAATTTTTTTTTTCCATTTTATGCTACCATATATCTTAACAAAAATACCTTTTTACTAGCATTTCATAATAGTTGACATGGCAAAGAGTGAATGAGAAATATGAAAAACAACTAACTTATAAATATCTACCCTAGAAGTAGCTGTATTTTGAGTTTGTCTGTTATGAAGCACCACTGGCAAGAAATTATATCTCACATGAAGAAACTGCAAATAATTTCACTGGAGACAGTTTATTTATCTTTTATTTTCAAATTGAAATTTTATTTTGATGGCAGGAAGAAACCTCTGTGACACTATTCTTAATAGGAAGGTTAGGAATCACATCTTGAAAAAAAGTCATGAAATGACCCCCAATCAGTACGCTGGTAGTAGAGAGAAATCTTGTGAATAGGAGGTCCTTTTCTAATAGACAACGCGAAAGAAATATCAACAGAAACTACTGAGTGATCTGAATTGCCAAGATGACAAAGTTGTGATACTTGACAAGAGCTAGAAGACGTAAGGAAGAAATCAAGTAAAGACGTTGATCAAATTTATAAAATGAGAGACGCTTTTGCGTAAGCCTCTTTCTGGTTAATGTTAACTTCCTTTATACTATAAATTTCTTTTTCTCCTGTCGACTAATATAGTAAAATTCCCAAAACAATTCTGTGGATAAGACAAATTGTTATAGGAATGACAATAGGAAAAATTTTAGGTTTTGCCGACACATTTCGTCTTCCAACTTTATCAAACCAAAATTGAAGCAAAATTGAATAAAAACATTTTGCTTCAATTTTGCCTTGATAAAGTCAAAAGTCAAAACACATCAACAAAAACTAATATTTTTTTCCTATTGTCATTCCTATACTAATCATTGTTGTCAATTGACAATTTGTTATTCAATGTCAGTTTTTTTTTTTGTGAGGCATATGTTTTGATATAGGTTTAAGATTGGTTGTTTTGCAACATATTAAAATTTTCCAGGTTTTTTAATGCTGAATTCTATATGTACATGGGATTGGTGTTTACAAGAGTCAAAAAGAGAGACAGGTTGGGTATGCATGAGTCAAAAAAGTAAATATACATTTGGTTTGCAAGAGAGTCAGAAAAGACAGACATGGGATTGGTATGCATTAGAATCAAACAGCTAGATGTGGGTTTGATTTGCAACAGAGTCAGAAAGGTAAACATAGTAAACAGGTGTTTCCTTTTTTTGTGGGGTGGGGAAAGGGGAGTTCAAAACTTTGCAAAGTGTTGCAGTTGTCATATCCTTGGCTTCATCCAACAATTCAAACAATGTTTTGGCATGTATTGATATGTTTTACTGCTTTAAATTCAGAGTTATGCTTGGCACAGATTAGTTGCCCAAGTAAGGCTAAAGTGCTCAGTCTGCCCTATTATTTAATTCATAATGTTTTCCAATGGCATTAGTGAGAAGTGAATGAAACCAACTAAATCAAAGTGTGAACTTAGCATACCAAATTCCACTTTCTGCACCAATAACCTTTATGCTACCAGCACAGTTATTTTCCTTATGCAGGAGTGTGAAGAAATTTAAATTATATTTCTGTAAGGCTCATAAATATTTATTGAGAATCAAAAAGACATATACAGTTAAAAGGATCGGCATTTTGCACCATTAAGATGGAGTTGGTTTGTGGAAATCTTGAGCAAGACACACAACCCACAGATTCTGACAGGATTAAAAATATACGAGTCTAAAATTCTTTCTCTCTCAGTGCTGACTTAAATATCACAGTATTTTGCAGTCGTCTTTCAGGAACGTTTTTATGCACTACTTAAACTGACTTGTCCACTCATGAAAAAAATAGGAAAGAATTTTGTGGAGGGAAGAATTTTTATAGATTGACATTCATTAGACCATCCTGAAGACAGGATATTTGTAAAAATTGAAAAATATTGAATTTTTTTTATCATCTAAGAAAAGGAGGTCATCTTCATAATATATATACAGTGGCAAATGCATGTTGTCTTAAAGAGGTATCTGTATTTCGATCATTGATAATGATATACTACTGATGATGTCAATTCATAACAATGTGCAGTTATCAGTGATGTAAGCAAAGTTTGAAAGTTGACATTTATAGATAAATGCTAAGAACAGATAATTCTTTAAAAAGTCAGGCATCTCTTTGACACAGTATTTATATTATGAACAGGACCTCTACTTCCCAAGTGATAATGAATCAATATTTCTGACAAATACTGTGGCTTCCAGAAGGTAAATGAATGCTAATCTACAAAAATTGTTAAAAATAATATTATAGCCTACTTTTTACAAATGGACTATTGAATTTAATTAGTGCCATTTTCATTTGGATCTGCAATCAAAGTCCAAGTTTTTCATGGTTGTCCCATAACCATCTATGATAATCGTTCAGCTTGTGATCTGTAGGAATCACCTGCAACAAAAAATGTCAATGTACTGTAAAACTTACTGTTTGTATGTCAAATTCAATACAAAAATCATTCTTTTTACTGATGAAATTTTGTATCCACTTATGAAGAATTTATATGATAAAAAATAAAAGGAAAATATTTAAATAATCTGGATGGGAGTAGAAAATTTTATTAGGTCTTTAAAAGCAGACCATTTAAAAGGACATATAAATATATACGCAAATATTATTAAAAGAACATTTTGCCAGGTCTAAATGTAATCAGTAATAGTTGATGGGTCCAAATGTAATCTGTAATGGTTGAGATGTCTGTAATGGTTGGCAAGTCTAAATTTAATCAGTAATGGTTGGCTAGTCTAAAAGTAATCTGCAATGGTTGTGGTGTCTAAATGTAATCTATAATGGTTGATGAGTGTAAATGTAATGTGTAATGATCGACAACTCTAAATGTAATCTGTAATGGTTGACAAGTCTAAATGTAATCAGGAATGGTTGACATCTCTAAATATAATCAGTAACGGTTGACAAATCTAAATGTAAATAGTAATGGTTGATGAGTCTAAATGTAAACAGAAATGGTTGACGAGTCTAAATGTAAACAGAAATGGTTGACGAGTCTAAATGTAAACTGTAATGGTTGATGAGTTTAAATGTAATCTGTAATGGTTCGTCAGTCTAAATGTAACCAGTAATGGTTAACAAGTCTTAATGTAATCTATAATGACTGACAAGTCTAAATGTAAACAGTAATGGCTGATAAGTCTAAATGTAATCAGTTATGGTTGACGAGTGTAATCTGTAATGATTGATGACTCTATATATAATCAATAATGGTTGACAAATCTTAATGCACTCAGGAATGGTTGCTGGGTCTAAATGTAATAATGGTTGGCGAGGAGGCACAGTGAAGTAATGGATGGCGATTCGGATTGAGGAATCAGAGAGCCAAGTTCAAATTCCAGTTGAATTCATTACATTCACTTACATGCTAATACCCTTGGGAAAAGTATGAATCCTATTCTTCTCCCACCAGATATGGATAAATAGCAGGGTAGACCGGGTTCTGTAGCCTTGGATGGCAACTGGTCTACTGCAGAAAGAAATAGTAACCTACTGCAGGAAAAAATCTGCCTCGTCAGTCATGTATTGAAAGATACTTGATCGCCTTAGTGCGTATCACGCATGGGACATAACTGATTAAATGATTGGCGTAATCTGTAATGGTTGACAAGGCTGAATGTTGTGAGGTTTGGTTTGGTTTATTTTGTTTTATGGCATATCAACCCCAATGAGTTATTTAATGCCAACAACATTTTTAGGATAGATTCGTATGAATAGAATATGTATTCTTTGGTTTAGATTGGTTTGGTTTATTTTGTTTAATGGCATATCAACCTCAATGGGTTATTTAATGCCGACAGCATTTTTACGATAGATTCGTATGAATAGAACACGTATTGATTTGGTTTCGGCATATCAACCACAATGGGTTATTTCATGCTGGTAATATTTTTCCTTCAAAATTGTATTTCTGGTAATATTTTTTTTCAAAAAAGTACTGCTGGTAATAGTTAACTATTTGCCCATAGCTGGGACCCTAACAGGTGCTACCAAGCTGGGACCCTAACAGGTGCTACCAACCTGGGTCAGGGTGGACCTGGGAATACCAGCAATTAAGAGGTGGTTCCACGTTCCTCAAAACCTCCTGATCAGAGGCCTTGCTGCTGGATGTAGTTTATCATCTTACCCAGGACAAAAATGTTGTGAGGTCTAAATGCTTGACATGTCTAAATGTAAAAAGTAATTATTGACAAGTCTAAATGTAATCTGTAATGTTTTCTGAGTCTGAACATTTCTGCATCTTTGGCAACACAGAACTGGAAAGGATAATAGAATTTACAGACAACATTATTGCAGTTAAATGGTTTATTTTTTAAAAAAGACATTGTTAAAAGGCATTACACAAGCAGACATGAATATATACGCACATTCACTAACAACAAAAAGGTTTGAATTAAATGTATGCAGAAGTATTTTTTTAAAATGTTATGAATTTTTTTAATTTGATCAACTTACATGTTTCCATTCAGAGACACAGAATATCCGATAAGAATCATTGCCATATTTTCCAATGCCATAAAGTTCATCTGGGTAAGTCCAGTTTTTTGTGAGATACTCTTCTGTGAAAGACAAAAATCAGTCAAACATAAAAACAATGAAAAGTCAAAACAGCATACAAAATTTCACTTTTTTTTTGCTGATGAAATTCTTTACAGAAAATTTAAACATTATAACTATCATCATCCAAGTTCTGTATATTTATCATAATTTGGCAAAAATGGCACATTGTAGTGTCCGGTTTGTTAGCACAACACAAAATGCTTTAATTTGTATAATAAAGTAATTTAGAAACATAATTTGTATAATAAAGTAATTTAGAAACATCAGTTTCTGAGTAATTTTTAATTATGTATAGATTTAAAAAGAAGTCTATCCAAGGGAGATAACTCTAATAACTATTAAATACAGAATTGTTTTCCTGAGTTTTTTAATAAGAAAATAAGGGGAATAAACAGAGAAGAATCCTTGACCTGTGGTGTACCAGTGATGATTCTTTAATAATAATAATAATAATAAAACTTAATGATAATTAAAATTTGCAAATAATTATAAGAATTCTATAAATAAAAAGCGAATCAACAGGTGAAGTTGAGATTTAAATGAATTATAATAAAGTAAAACAGCTCATGTATTTTTTTTGTCTATTCAGGTGATATTTATTACAAATACACAATGTATGCCAATTGTGAGCTAATTATAAAATCAGGAAAACAAAAGATAATCTATAGAAAAAACTCAATACATTTTCAAAAAGTAAATTGTACAAATGTTCAAATCTGCCAAAACAGAAAAGGTTATTCAAACCACGTTTAGCAGCCTTGTAAGCAACTGCCTGCCTGGACCAAGTTGTTCTTATTCATTTTAGGTATTATATCAATGATAATGGTCTTCAACAAGTCTCTTGAATTGTGAGGCCACTGGTTGATGTGGCCACAGACACAGTAGCCGAGTGGATTCAAATTAAGAGAGTTAGGAGACCATCTGTTCATCATCATCATCATCAGTCTATCTGTTCATCATCATCATCATCATCATCATCATCATCATCAGTCCATTTGTCCATTATCATCATCATCATCAGTCCATCTGTTCATCAGCATCATTAGTTCATCTGTTCATCATCATCATCTGTTCATCATCAATCCATCTGTTCATCAGCATCATTAGTTCATCTGTTCATCATCATCAGTCCATCTGTTCATCATCAATCATCATCAATCCATCTGTTCATCATCATTATCATCATCATCAGTCCATTTGTTCATCATCATCATCAGACCATCTGTTCATCATCATCATCAGTCCATTTGTTCATCATCATCATCAGTTCATTTGTTTATCATCATCATCAGACCACCAGTTCATTATCATCATCATCAGTCCAATGGAGCTCCTTGCTATGGTAATTAAACTTCATGAATTTAAGCACAGTAATAGACTGGCATCAAGATTACATCAATTTACACTTGATCTTGCTAAATGTAACCGTAAATTCTATGCTAACAGTTTCTTTTCTCACACTTATTGCTTGTGTAACTCCTTTCTGGCTTCATGTTTTCCAGCCAATTTTAATGTGCAAAAATTTAAATGCAATGTCAATCGCTATCTACTGATGTTTCTGTTCCTAATTCCCCACACCCTGTAACCCTTGCGTTTTAATGGCTGTACTGCCTTGCTTGGAGTGATTCTGATTAAAAAAAATTGTCAGGGGGACCTGAGGGTAGAGGAAACAGACTGAGTCTTCTTCCTCATGATCCTTTCAGATAGCCTGATGGCACCCATCTCCTCTCCAAACTCAACCAAAGACCAAAAAATATGCTGTGGATTGCCCTCGATCCGTTCAGTTTAGGTTTTGAATTCAAAGTTGTCCTTCTAGACAGGTTGCCACCCAATGATATAGAACCCAGCCTGTCCTGCTGTTTACCTATAGCTGGGGTGAAAAGAGATGAATTCATATCTTTCCCAAGAGTATTAACATGTAAATGAATGTAATGAACACAACTGGAATTCAAACTCAGTACTCCAATTCCTCAATCTCAATTACTCCAATGTGCCTCTCCTAAGCCACGTTGGGGGTGATGAAAATACTCAGTCCACTTGCAGAGTCACACTGGCCATGTGCAATATCCTTATTGTTGTTGTTTTGATCTCTAAAGCCAATAGATTTCTTTTGATTTCTTCATATGAATGTTACATCCAATATTTTTCCTTCTCCCTTTCATTATCTTTTAGTCTGGATAGCAGAGAAAGGTTTCCTCCCTACCAAAATGTAATTAATACAAGATAATGTCTTTCCAATCACATGCAGGCATATAGCACAAAATCCTGAAGTACTAGGGCAATTCTGAGAATGAATTTGGAATTGGTAATGGTTGATTTATTATAGAAATTATCTTTACCCTAGTTACTAAGTCAATATTTACATTTGGTCTATTGTCCTTATCACAACATTTCATCTATTATACCCTCTTGCCTTCTTCAGGCATTTGTTGATTCAGGTAAGTATCAGAGAATTTTAAATTGAACAATTTATTTCATCTATAGGGGTAGATTGTTCTAGTTCTACCATCCATGTCTTGGGATATTTCATCTTGTTGTCTTTTTAGTACTGCTCAGTTATTGTTGGTCCTCCTTCTATTGACACTGAGTCTGTACTACCAAGCCCAGGGATTGAACTCGCTATTACCAAATTCATGAAGTAACACTTTAATACACTTGGTTATTGTTCCAAGCTAAATCTTTGTGGCTGATTTACGAGTCATCGTAGTCGTACTGATCAAATTTTTTGTTGCAGGGAAATCAAATTCTATAACCAAAACTGAAAATCTTGGATTAAATAAATTCAAGACTGCTTGGTGGTTGAGGTAGTTGTGCATTTCCCATTAGTCCCACTGGTTAGTGTTCAAGTTGAGGTAAAAAGAATGGATTTCAAATATTGATTTTCAAGTCTAACAAGTATAGGTCTTTTTTTCACTCAGAAGACTGACACAATGCATTCTTCCTAATGCCTATTTCCTCCTTATTCGAGCTGAGTAAAAATCTCAATAATACAGATTAGATAATAAAAAGGAGACCAGAGTGGTACCCATCTGAATATGAGGAGGGGTGCTGAAAAGCTCTTAGCAAAATCCAACCAAATTACCAAACATTTCTGGTAGGGCTGAAAACTTTTCAGCACCACTTTGTATATGTTCTAAAATCTGCAGTGCTTTCACTTTTAATAAATATGGGAGGGGGGGTTAAAATTTATCAAGTTTAATTATCTTTAAGTCCAATTAATCCCCCAAAGATGCGATGGGTGGAGAATTTGGCCTGAATTTGAAAAGGAAGACAAGTAGCAGAAAGCACAGTTAAAGTGGATCATAGCTTTTTATTTCTTAGAGAAAACAGCCTGGAGACCATTCCAACTAGCACTTGGCATCAGATTACAGGTGGCCACTTCAGGAATTTGGAATTATGGGTGGTCCCAACTGAATCTACTAATCAGCTTAGCTGGTTAGTTAAGAACCCAGGGATTTGACTTTAGATTTCATTTAGCAATGGGAATTAAAATGTGAAGAAAGAATTTCAAGACTGTCCAATTCCAACAGTTTGGATCTCTTCAGATTGAGCTGTCAAACTGAACTGATTACCATTCCTGATAGAATCAGTCGCAAAGTCAACAGGCTTCAGAATAAATGACCAAAACAAGCAATTGTATTTTGCCCTACCCCCAGGGGATAGTGTGGAAGAGTAAAATAAAGACCAATTTCGTTTTTTTTTTTCATTTTAAGATGACAATCTGTTTTCATGTTTGTTAAAGTTCTCAAGTGTGGTCAGCAGCAATATTATCCAGAATTCTACATTTCAGTGAGACTTGATGTTTTTTTAATGAAAGTATTTGTAATTTTAAAGTAAAATCATGAATTGGAAACAACAAACTCAACAAATTAGAATCAAACACCCAAACCCAAAAGGCTATATATTGTTACTAGAGCATTGCCTATCATGTGACCATGTTTTGAAGTCAGGAATAGACTTTTTCCATTTTAACATTTTTGTCATTCATATTCAGCTGTTCTATAAGGTACTTACAAAGTTAAACAGGCTTTCATCCCACATGGAAAAGAAAAGTTAGAGAGAGAGATAATGATATATAAATTTTATATATCAAGAACAATATTGGGGGAAAATGTATGACAAAGTGGGAAAAAATGTTTGTGTAATGTGTTTCATCCTTTAGGACTTTAGTTTTGTTATGCTGCTGCAACTATACATGCACACTAACGACAGGTGCTGGGAATTTTAAATTAAAATATTTTTGCTTTTAATATAACCTAGCTGATTTCATTTAGATTCATTTTCTTTTCATCACTTTTGTTATTAGACATTCTCCCACACTGTGATAATAGAAGATCTATCAGGAATGGTGAAATGATGTGAGAGAACCGGGAGCAAATTTACTGTAGATGACTTTGCAATCAAGGCACTCTATAGACATTTCCGTCATAGTGAATTATTTTCTCCTTTGATCAGAGTAACATTTTTATATCAAAATTGTGGTCAGCCTCATTACAGTAGGCAACCAACACATTTGATTTATTGTTTTGTAAAATATTCCTTTTGTGCTTATATAATCTTTCATTTAGATTCCTAGAGATTTCTCCAATGTATTTTTTATGACAATTATTACAGGTGATCAAGTAAATTCCTCCTTCAAGTTTTAGCTTATTGTCTTGTTTAGTATTGACTAAGTCTTTTATCATTTTAGTTGTAGTAAAAACAAATTCTATATTGAGTTTAGATAAATTCTTTTCCATTGTAGTTGTGATAGAGTTAGTTGGTAAGACAATATATCTTTTTAATTCATTGGGTTTGTCAGGTGGAGCCATTTTTCTATTTTGCAATATTTTATGAGCCTTTTGTTTTGCATTTAATATAAAATAATAAGAAGCTTGAGAAAGCTTGAAAGCTTTCCTCCACTTCACTAGAGTGGTCATCTGATACTTGGGACAATTTCTGTTAAGTCAGTTCTTACCCCCTAGAAATTCCTCGCCATCTACACATCCTGATATAGCAA